GCTGAGTTTGTTTTTTCTAGTCTAAGTCAGAAATTACTGAACGGATTTTCATTCGGTTTTACCAATAGAACTAGGAACTACCTAGGATGTAATATTGCAAAAATAAGCTATCAGTATGATGATATTTTTGTATTAAATCTTTTTAAATTGAAAAAAAGTTTTTTTCTGAGAACTAGGTGTTTGAACTAGCTTTTTACCTATATTTAAAACCTGGTTGAATTATTTAAGAAAAATAACATTCAAATATGTACATATTAAATATAACAAGTCGTCATTGATAAGTTCGAATCAGGTTGGAAATAACGAAAAAACTTGTTTTCGATCGAGTAAAATATCATGGCGACGATATAATTATTTTTTTTTTGATATATAAATAATAATAGATAATTGCGTTAAGATATATATAAATATGCAAGTAGAGATTGATTTTTTTATTCTGAGACCGTTATTCTTTTAGATGTTTAAAATTCAAGTGAAGTCAGCAAAAGAGTGTACATTAACAAAAATATTACCTATTTCGCTATGGATCTTTCTATTATTAGGTACGTTTTATATAGATATAAATACTTATTAGCCAGCGTTTAGCCATATAAATTTAAATTTCCATTTATTGTAAATTTTTCTGATGTTTTAATAGTTATTCTGCTATTCGGGGTCAGACAAATCTAACAAACTAAAGATCATGAAAATCGGTCCAGCAGTTCTCGAGTAATAATAAGTGTTGTAACAGACTACTACACACAGAACAACAACAGACTTTGTTTTATATATACACCTGTTATACATACATACTCGTATATCTGAATTACTGTCTGTTTCTGAAAACATTTAATACCATCCCATACAACTCGGTAAATCAAATGCCAAATCTTTTCAGCAGTACAGAAGATGTACTGCGCCGACCCCAAGTGATTGGGAAATGGGCAGGGAGAAGAAGAAGACAACTCGCACTACACAGCTTTTACATTGTGTATGTTCATATACAATAGAAAATATATGAACATATACAATGCTTAAAAATACAGAAAGTGTCTTTCCGACTTTGAAATGCATACCTTTATTACAAAAACAAACTAGTGACATACCATCGCTTCGCTCGGGTTGGTCCCTAGTCCCGATTTAACGGTTAGTGTGGAATAAATAGACTATATATTTATATATAGAAGATGAGATAATCTCGCGCGGTAAAAAGTAGCCTATGTCCCTCTCCAGCCCTACCAACTATCTTCACACACAAAAAGTCACGCTAATCCGTTACTCTGTTTTGACGTTAAAGGACAAAAAAAAAACAAACAAACAAATATACTCACATTTCTAATATTAAGTACGGATTCGGTTCTAAATATATCAATAGATGGCGCTAAACGACAACATAAAAGCAAAAAGCAGCCGAATACGTGGTCGAAAGCTAGTTACAATAATTTAATCAAAAGCTGAGTTCTTACGCCGAACATTTGTGTAGACATTCTGATAATTGTATTGTCACTTCAACGTAGCAGAGTACGCAGTGTAATGTCAAATGTTCTCCAGATGTTGACCGATACTGAATATCATAGAAATGCTTAGCGATTTCGACGTATAGCCTCCAATAATCCAGTTGAACTGATGTAGGTATTTAACAGATTACAATAATAATAAGTTCCCAATTTTTACGTATGTCTTTGTATTTGTTACGCGATATCTTCGTAATTACTCAAATGTTTATTTTTTTTAAGTTATACTTTTGCACATTTGCACATTTGAAAAAATATAAGAGAGTAAAATTTCTACCATGCACAGCACATCGACAGCCAAAAAGCGACATGATGAAGTTAGCTGCTTTCCTTTAACAAACAGAGAGTTGTGACATACGGGATGAGATCTTTAGCTATTTTTGTTCTCTTACGCCAAAGAAGTATAACTTCTTACGTGCGTACATAAGTACATACACACGATTTTAATGAATACATATATTGAATTACATATATAAAAAAAACATACTTGAGAGTAGAATAATCACTTTTAAAGATATTTAGACATATCGGTTTGTCGTTGTATCTTAAAATCATACTAATATTATAAAGAGGTAAAGTTTGTGAGTTTGTTTGTAGGAAGTAATCTCTGGAACTAAAAAGAATTTAGATTAAATTGGTAAGAAGAGAGTTTGAGACCCTGGAAAGGACAAAGTGTAGTTTTATTCAGGAAATCATTCCTTAAGGGGTGAAAATGGGGATAAAAGTTTGTGTAGGGACGAACCCAAGCAAAGCGAGAGTGAGTCGCTAGTATCATTATATAGAGAAAAATTACAAAATAGATATGTTTTTTGTCACTGTCTTTTATTATATGGTCATAAATTAGAACCGTTTTATGGAAACGCTTTTAGATGGGGTCGTAAAAGTTAAAACCGAACTTAGTATTTTACAAGCTTTTTAATTAACCGGACATTTTTTAATCTGTTAGTTAATTTCACTATTAATAAAGAAAAGAATCTTAGTGAGAATTGATAAGCAGATATTGCAACTTTTCCAATTTTTTTCCCCTAAACACCTTTATCAGACACGTTTAGCTCAGTTTGTAGTGACTTAACTTGCTGTGCCAGCGGTCGCGGGTTCGAGTCCAGCTGGGGACTAGGTTTGCACTTCAGTCATGGGTATATTTGTAATATGTATGAATGTATTACCATGGAACTAGATGGTGATGTGTGTTAATGTCCCAAAATATTAATTTATTTATTATATACCCATATTACGAATTTTTTTAAACTTAATTATCGAAATCGACCCAGCTATTCTCACGGGATGTGCTTACAAACAAACAGCATTTCATTTTTAATTATATGTATAGATAAGCTTCTAAAGGAACGGAGTGGTTGTTAAAACATAAAAAATGAGTTATTTCAAACAATTTCAGTTGAAGGATGCTTAATAAGTAGAATTAAGTAAATAAGCTCTGCTTTTTATTTAATTTGAAGAAATGTCTTCGAGGTCTGTTTTAAGCCAGTCATTGAAAATGATGCGAAATTATTTTCGAAGGGTTTGATTAATAGGAAAAAGTATAAAAAATATTATGTAAAAAGTATAATGAAGTGCTTGTACAGTCTAATTGAATCCAATTTTGTCTAACAAAATACTAAGCATTCATACTTCTATACTTTAACATTATAAATGTGATAGTGTGTTTGTTTGTTCTTCTTTTACGTCGTAACAGAGTGACGGATTGTCGTGATTTATAAACTCAAAAACGGCTGGACCGATTTGAATAATTCTTTTTTTGTTTTGGTGAGGTTGTGTCAAGGGTGTTTTAAGTATAAAAAAAATTGGGAAAACCTAAAAAAACAGATGGAAAATCAAAGAGTTCAGAACTATTTATTTTGTATGGGATATACTAAACGTTAAAACGTACTTAGGGGCTACGGATGAACCTGAGCGAAGCGAGAAATAATAAAGACTTATATTACTTATCTTCGCTTCGCTTTTAAAGTTACATATATTCATAATTTAGATTATCATTGATCTTTTAGTTAGTGCTAAATTCAAATCGAACCTATATAAGGTAATACGTGCAAAAACGTTTCCAACATCCCATCTTAATTCGCCAACAAAGCGTTAAATTATTCAAACCATTAAAGATTTTATAGCAATCTTAGGCAATTATGCATATATATATTTTACAACGGACATACTAATGTTCCGTCTAATTTGTACTTTAATGGCTGTTTGATGAAATTGGATGTAGGTTCGATTCTCCGACACTTTAAATGTTGGCATTTCTTTATTCTCACTAGAAAATTTGTCACGATTTTTTATATTTTGAATGTTTTCTTGTTTATTTATATTTCCGATGTTTCAAATGCTTTACAGCAAACATGATGGAAATACAGTTTCATCTAGTATAGTAGTGTAGTGAAAGATTTACTTAAAAGTTAAAATTACTATATAATATATCTTTGAAAATAAAATAACTTAATAAAAAAACTACATTTAAAATCTTATTAAATCATTTCCAAACAGAAAATTTGTGCTAAAAGAGAACATACCAACATATTTTATGAAGACGATTTCAACATCAAGAGAATTCGTATTCGCTTAAAGCTACGCTCTATGCAATTCAGGTATTCATTTACAGTGGAGTTAAAAATCCGTTTATTTTTTGTGGTCCTTCGTAACGTTTTGAGCAACGATGCGTGTACTTTAACTTTTAGTTGGAGTTTAATTTATCTCGTGAAACCTCTAAATGGGACAAAATCAGAATAATTGGTCCGCCCTACCTTTAAAACGTAACGAGGTGAGAGCTCAAACGTTTGGTTTGCATTTCTGTAAAGATTTCTTATTTAAGACACTAATTGAAGTGACTTAGTGTATTTGTGTTTATTGGCAAATAAATAATTATATGTCTAAACTTCTAAAAGTACTGTATTTGTATGGACACCGAAATATTAAATGATGAATTATTGTACCAAAAATTTCTTGACAGAAGTCTCAAGTAACTTGGTCATGACCTGGGAATTGAACCTAGGATCCATCTGCTGAACATGTGACTAGACCAATTAGATAGTTACAACTATATACAAACTAAAGGCATACCCTCGCATCGCTCCGAGTACGTCCTAGATGCCTAACAGTAGCCTGTGTGCTACTCCAGGCCATAGTATAACTGTCTAATTTTCACCAAAATCAGTCCAGACATTACAGTGTGAAGGAGCAACAAACATACACGCAATACCAGATTTACGCGAATATTTGATATTTTAAATAAAAGTATCCTTTCGGATTTTTTCCGGATTTAATTTTGATTTTTGGGTCTCGACGTTTCAAATGCTTTACAGCAAGCATCTTCACGGTAGACACTGAGGTTTTAGGCGTCTCAAAAGTCCCATAAAATTATAGAATGATTTTCGAAAAATTTAACAATGGCACCAAAGTATCTTACAATATATTAAATTTAATATGTATTTCAAACATACACACACCCACATTTATAATAGTAATTTAAAATTTTCTAACACATTTTTTCTTTTGCAGGTTTCTCATCAGTAATACCAGGGTATCCCCGCTATACGATGTTCGGTGATCGACGTCATGGGGTCTACAACTTGCGTATTGTGAACGTGACGTTAGAAGACGACGCAGAATATCAATGTCAAGTGGGTCCTGCCCAAATGCACAAAGTCATACGAGCTAATGCTTCACTAACAGTCATATGTAAGTAATTCTTTTGTATTTTAATCGATTTAAAATATAATTAAAATAAGCAATCATGAAGACTGCTGATAGAAGTGAAAACTTATAATTTTAGAAGAACTGTGTTTTTTTAATTAATATAATAGTAGGAGTAATTAATTTTTCATAGTTTTGTAAATTGAAATTATCATTAGTCTGGTCTTGACTTCCATTAGCACTCAGGGCAATAATTATTTCCGTTTTGATATAGTTTATTTATTAATTAAATTGTATGTACGTACATATATATGAATCTACATGTATGTATGTATATCAATTTTAAGGTACGTTATGTGACAGCCAAATGGTTTTTAACGTACTAGATTGTCACTAGACTCGTCTCAATTGTAGGAGTAATATAGGGTTGTACTATTTTAATATATCTGAATATAATAAACTTACTTGTAAAGTATTTAAATTATTTTCAAGTAAATATGCCTATATGGAATGTTATAAGATAAAGGATTAAAATATAAGAAAAAATGCAATTGTAGATTTTTTGCAGTGAGAAGATTTAAAGGGAAAAGCTTTAGATGAAAAGGCTAAACTGGTTGTACTATATCTATCTATACAAATAATAAAATTCTAACTGAGTCGAATCTGTACATTGAACATTTTTTGGCAAATCTTATTGAAATAGTCATTATTATCATCGATACAGAGGCTGAATCTATAGTTTTGGAATTTTTGTCCATATGTCTGTTTGTCTAGAAACGCATCATAAGAAAACCTCCGGACAGATTTTGATGAAATTCGGTATGATGATAGCTGCTTATCCGGTTCAGTATATAGGATACTTTTTATTGCGGGAAAATATCTCAGATAAACCTATACTAAACGTTAAAACTTACTAAGGGAACGAACGAACCCGAGCGGAGTGAGGGGGAGTCGCTAGTCAAATGTAAGTTCTTAAAACACTTCGTATATGAGAAATAGACGAAAAATGAAAAAAAAATCTCAATAAGCATTACCTAAGCGCAAAATCTTGTTCGGAAAATGCGTAAAGAACGTTTTTATATGAATGCTTAACCCGAGATATATCAACCGGGTCAGATATGTCTAAGATCTTGGTTTATACGTTCAAGGGCTGTGATAGCTTTTGAAGGGCTGCCTAAATATCGATATTAATTTTTCTACTGATGTAAATTACTACAATTCGATTTTTAATTGATGATTTGAAACGTGCCAATTGAGCACAGATTGCGTCGCGAATTTTGAATCCTGACTATATATTAATAGAGGTTGACTCAAAATTAATAATGTCTAAAGATTTAATATAGATAGATACTTTTAATATTGTAATACGAAAGTATGTAACTTATAAGGTATTTAAGATTCAACTTAAAAGATAATAAAAATATCTTCTATATTTAAATATCGTTATTTACCTTTGTCTAGATTTCATTAGAAGAACAAACAACTTTTGTGGACCTAGTTAGAATAAATGTATTATTACGTTATTTAATTTACAGTTAAATAACCTTTCTTTCATTTAGGAACGGGATAGTGATACTATACTACTTTAGTACTTTGTAAGGACATGGTTTTAGGATAGAGTGATATGTCACTTTTGATCCTGTTTTTTTTTGAGATATAGTGTGCAATAAAATAATCCGTATGACAAAATTATATGTATTCTATGATAGGATAGAAATGAGGAAGGCGTCTACTATGTTAGTTGTAAATTAAACTTCCCACTGCTGAGCTAAGGGCCTCTTCGCTTTAAACGCTCGACAACTAATTGGGTTTTCTAAGACATGCAGGTTTCCTCGCGATTGTCATTTTCTTCTCGTATTAGCAAGTGGTACTCATGTTGAAAATGATTAGCACTAAATGGAAATATCAGAGTACCACATCTGTGGTTTGAACCTGCTTCACATGGTTTTCCAAGCGAGCACGCTGCTACTGGGTTACAAATCATATGACACTTACAGTAACAACGGACTAATTCGATTTTTCCATGACATTTTGCTTGTTTTTATTATGCGGACTTTTCTCTTTGCACCATTTTCATATCTTCCACTAAGCATAGTGATGTGCATTGAATCTATGATAGCTTTCCCCTTTTACACTAAAAAATCTAATCTAATGCATACAAATGTAAAATTTCGTATAAGTCGTGAAAAATGATCGATAAACGTCCATCCCTACTATCCAATAATAAGATGGTGACTATTTTACGACGACCTTTTATTCAAATTTGCTAGTTCCGTTTCCAATAAGCAATAGCGCTGATATATCTCTGGACCCTAACAAGTATTGCGTTTGTAAGATTCTCTTTTGTTTGGCTGAATCTTATTTAATACAACTTTTCATTAAGTTTCTTTTATCACGACTCTACTCACAAAATGACTACTTTCTTAATAGGTGTTAGCGGGTTCGATTATTTGAAATTTGCTGAGTATTTTTGTATAATTTTGAAATATATTAACATTCTATGCTAAGGTAACCTAATACCATGATCCAATTCAATTTTTTTTTTAAATATCATACACTAAATAACCACAGACTTGATACGTGTTTCAATTATTATTGATTAGCATTAGTATTTATTTGGCCCATTTATGTAATAGTACTCGAAATCTCTAGTATGAGTCCAGCTCACTCTTGGCCATTGTAAATGTTTTCTTGGTCATTTTAATGTTTTTGACGTTTTACTTTAGAGTTAGCACTGTAGTCACACTAAGTTTAATACTTCGAATTATTTAAACCGGCTGAAGAGCAAATAAGAATCTATTTACATTTATCTAAAATAGAAATCTTAATATACGTGTGTTTTAGCTACTTTTACTATACATTAGAGTAGACGCTGTTATAATATTATGTTTTAAACAATTTATTTAAGCTGTTAAAATATATGTAAGAATAAAGTGCCTGGGCGACCGAGGTTCGCTCGACGTTATGCTGCTTTTTTTTAGAATCGTCTTTTTTTGGAAAAGATATAAAAATTAAGTTTTTTCAGAAAGTACATATACAGATAAACTTAAAAAGCGAAACCTTACCTAGTTACAAAATTTGATCCAAATCATTAGAGCCGTTTCCGATATACAATTAAATTTATATATAAGAATTGCTGATTTAATATTATAATAGGGTAATTTAAAAGCAGAACAAACAGATTCCACAGTATATATCTTTAAAAAAACAGTATTTTGCCCAACGGTGGGTAATTAAAATAGTTTTTTAATACTAGCAATGTAATTTCAGAAACTGGAACACGATATAAAATCCAGTGGTTGCAAAACCTTGAAAACTACCGCCAACTTTTGCCGGTGCATTGTCAAGATTTCCTACATTTGAATATCCACACTTATAAACTGAGGCATGTTGAAAGTTAACTGAGCGGAAGTTTCTAAAAAAGATGGCCATTTAGGGTAGTTGAATTTTTCATGTGAAAGAGCTTTTCTATTTGTTTGATAGACTGAGGATTCGGTTTTTTGTACTTTACTAGTAATTTGCCCTGGCTTTGTCTATATATAAAGTGATATACATATGCATACATACACCTCAATTACTTATATATATTTAAATATTAAAAATTTAAGAACTTTTATATTATGCGATCAAATAAATATCTTTTGCAGACAGTGATAGCTCACCAAAAAAAACCAAACATTACATTCATTTTTATTTGTAGACTCACCTTCGCTCCGCTAGGGTTTGTTACCAGTCAAAGCTAAGGTTTGTATGTATTTTTAATGCCAAATCATAAAAAAAAATTGCCAAAAAAAAATAAAAATAGGTATATATTTTTGAGGTGGACCACTCTTATCATTTAGGGGTATGAAAAATAGTTTACGACCTATTCTCAAACCTACTGAATATATACACAAAATTTCATAAGAATCGGTCAAGCCGTTTTGGAAGAATTTTGTTACAAACACTGACACGAGAATTTTATATGTAATTGATTCGCAATACAAACTTTCATCCCCATTTTCACCCCTTGATGGAATTATTACCGGGACAAAAAGTATCCTATGTCCTTCCCAGGGTCTCAAACTATCTTCTTACCAAATTTCTAAATTTCATCTAAATCGGTTCTGTAGATCTAGATATTACCCCCTACAACGTCACAAACTCACCAACTCACAATTCACGAACTCACAAACTTTACCTACCACCTTTACCACCACCTACCAGATTTTGATGAAAATTAGCAAGAACATTAAACCCTTGCTTTTCATCCTCGCTTACAATGCGAGTGGAGTCGCCACCAAAACCTTGTACAAATAAGTCAAATCAATAATACCTTCCAATTTTCACTTGAAAAATTTCACCAAATTCAGTGTAACGAGATCAAAGGATCTTACAAACATATTACACCAATTTGAGCGGAAATAATTACTTGCACAATAACATTCCAAAGTAAGTACGACCACCAACAAAAACCTAACATTGGCGTGTTTTAAAAAATTCCACCATCTTAATTCTGGGAAATGTAATAACAATGAACTTTTACAAGCTCTTTTATATTTCAACCTCTCTCTCAGACACGACTCTATCCCTCTATTTCCATCTCTACACGTAATTTTGTTTCATAAGAGCAACAGAAAGCAGCGCTACCTTTTTTTAAGTATTTATAAAATCGCATGGGATGAATACGAGTAAAGGTAGATAGGGGGTTACAATTGATTGAAAGGGTCATTGTGAGTGATGACGACCCTTTTTGTTTACTTAGAGCTGTGTTTGTACGATTAGGTGTATGCGAGGAATGTTTGGAATAATATCTATTTATGTTTGCCTAGTGGTCGATATTGGAGTATTATTATTGTTTACGGAAAACGTATAGAATTTAATTTGTTTAAAAAAATATTTAATAAGCAAATTCGAATGAGTTAGAATTTTATATATATATATATATATATATATATATATATATATATATATATATATATATAATGGTTTTTGAAGGTAGCTCTGAGAAATCTATATTAACCGTTACTACGTACTTAAGGACAAACCCGAGCGGAGAGAAGGTACTCAC